CTACTCACCTAGAGTGTTTGTTTCACCGTGGTCCTTTGAGAAAAAGTGTAGATCTCGTCAAAAGCTTCCTTTAGGTCCGATTGGTTCACGGCTTCGTCGCCTTTGGTTTCTGGGTCGTCATCTCTTGGCTTCAAAAGGTAGAGATTTCTAGTTCTCTTTCAATATCCCCTTTTATGGATAGATTCGTGGTATTTTCTTTATATAAATACAAAAGTTTACATTTTTTATGCATATTGTGATGAATCACGAGATGGGGGTTGGGGTTTGAAGAGAGTTAGGATCATTTGTTAGGTTATAATCTTGGGTTATGAATTTCGGTTAGAATAAAATGTGTCTTGTGAAAAAGGTTTAATTTCTCTTAAAAACCCTAAGTTGATTCATGATGATAATTAATGACTTTGCTCAAATTGAAAGTAGAATCATGGAATTGAGGTATTGAAATATTTATATACAAGTTTTGAATGTGTGCAGGACACACTCCGGGAGGAAGTAGCACGTCATCACAACACTATGAGTAATAGTATACGGAATGTACATTTACTTACCGTTAATATCTGTTATGACCATTCTGTTTTCTGCTAAACACAACAATAACATATGTATTGATTGGAACTTGGTGGCAATGTAAGGTTGACAAAATTATGTACATTTCTGATATTTCTGGGCCGAAAGGCTGTTCAGTATATTTCTGGGCCGAAAGGCTGTTCAATATATTTCTGGGCCGAAAGGCTGTTCAATATATTTCTGTGCCGAAAGGCTGTTCTGTATATTTCTGGGCCGAAAGGCTGTTCTGTATACTTCTGGGCTAAAAGGCCATTCTGTATTTCTGGGCCAGTAGGCCGTTCTGTTATAACTTGGCCCAAGGCCAGTCTGGAAAATAAAACAGCATCAGACTAACTACTGGGAATCCAATTTTGTGTATGCATTGTTCTATATTATGATTTAAATTGAACATTAAACTGTTTACGTGCTGTTACTCACTGAGCTTGTCTCACTCTGTAACTTTTGTCTGATTCTGTAGGTAACCAACGTGGAGGTCAGTCCTAGCGTCAATATTATCTATCTTTTGTCAACCTAAGGACGACCAGGCACTTGGAGAAGCCCTTTGCATACTAATGCAGTTTCGTTAGATTTTGTCATTTTGTACTAATGTTTTGTTGGTCAAAGTTGATTGTATCTAACGTTTTATCGTATGCCCAACTTCTGGGCTGGACTTGTATTCTTTTGTGTGTGTAACTTAATCTCGGATGCATGTTCACTATATGTTTAATTTCGAGACGTTGTCCTGGCAGTTTGGTAGTCGCTCAATGGATGTGTCTGCATGTTATTTTATTATTAACGCTTCCATTCAGGCCCCGGATATTCTTATACAACAGGATTAGTGTCTGTTTTTGGGGTAGGTCATGCCCGGAATTTTAGGGGCAAGTTTGGGGTATGACAGTTTTGGGCATTATTAAAGCTGCCTAATCCATGTATAAGTCCATCTTTCCATTAGTTTGCATTGCCATATGTTTGCTTGTGTGCTTGCATAAGTGCCTTGCCATGCCATGTTGCATCCTTAGCTTGTATGCCTAGGTTGCATTGCATCTTGCATGCATTCCTTGTCCCTTGATTCGGGTGATAGGGATTGGGAGTTTTGTTTGATTGATTTGCATTTCATTTAACATGGAAATTGCATACTTGATCCCTTGGGCCATCATGCATGGAAATGCGTGATTGGTGGTCCAAGAATCGAGGCACATGCCCCTTTGAGTCATTATCATGATAAGGGACATGGTTGGTGCATATATGCCTTGAATTGTGCTGCCATGCTTTGCCTTGCCCTCTGTTGCTGTCATTTGCAGATTCTGCAGGAACACTCTGCCGACCGGCAGTGTAAGGTGCCGACCGGCAACAATTAC